ACAATTCTGACTGAACTCTGACAGCTAACAGACCTGTTAGCATCAAGCTGTAGCCATGTCTGTTTTAGAGACTAAACTAGCTCTCTTGTTTTAATCACCTTCTGCTCTTCCATTAATGAAAATGAATGTAAAAAGTCACCTAATTCCGTCATTTTCCAGCAATGTGTTACTGGCCCTCTCAAACAATTCCCACATCTCTTCCTTAATGGTGCCCATTAAGATCCACAATTCTTAATGAAGGTGAGATTAAAGTCAGAATTCTGAGAGTAAAGGAGTAAAGTCAGAATTCAGTATATGCAGAAGCTATCCGTTTCATTTCATTTTTCTCATTAAAAAACCATACAAATGGCATTTAGATTATATTCTTCATAAAAAATGAGTGAAATAATTCGGTTTTAGTAATTACCGGTAACCGCTTTTATTGTTCAAACTGGCTCGGGACCAACTTGACCACTATAAGCGGATTCCAATGTATTATATTTAAAAATTTAGCATAATAAACTTCTTAGATAGGCCTAAAGTTCTGTTGTATTGGATATAGCTTACGCAATGGCTGCTCCAATTAATCCAGTGAAGCCAAATTAATTATAATTGAATCACTATGCTGCGCAATCCTGTTCCCCATGATTGTGTAGGGGATAAAAATGCATATTAAAATTCTGTTTACAAGTTATTTTTTGTTGTCCTCTGTAATAATATACTAAATTGATAATTAGTTTTCACAAGCTGCAAGCACTGATCCTAAAAATATCACTCTGTATTTAATGAATGGATATAATGCATTGATTTACTTTGGTGTTTATGTACTAATAAGTGCACAATTTCCATTATATTTCCTTTACATGAATATGCATACCTATATTGTAAAATTAGATTTCAAATGGAGATTTCGATTCAGGTAATCTGAGTAAACTGTTACCATTATAGATTATTTTTTCAATCTCAAATAATTAGGAATCAGGGTAAATAATGAGTTGAAAAATAAAAGCGAGTGGCTTTTAGATGGTAGGGTTATCAGATTACATAGGCCCATTGAAGCAGGACCAACCTGTGACTGCTGCTGTTCATATGCCAGCTGGCCCTTTCTCCTGAGACTGCTGTTCTTGGTTTCAGTCTCTGTGGTGATGCCTCATGGCCAACCTCTCAACGTTTTCTAGGAACGCACTATTGTCTTTATGAGTCTGAATGAGGCTGTAATCTGTTTGAATTTGAAAGTAATTTTGGTTCCATAAATTACAGTATATGTAAGTAATTTCTCTAAAGTAGCCACATTTTTTTTTTTACCAATCAATGTCTGATAATCTTAATGCTCAAGTTAGAGAGTGAGATAATCACTGAACACTGAAAAAAGGGACCATAGTCATATTTATGTAAATTTACTTGTATGATTCTGGCTTGAGCATCATCATATGAGAGTCAAATTCTCAAATTTATCACCAGCATATTTTATTTCCCATTAAATCATGGAATAAAACCCTAGCTCAACCAATTTAAAAGATTTCAGTCCATATTTTAAATCTTTATCTATTTTGCATCCCTGATATGGTTTTGTACTTTTCTTGTAATCTATGATTTAATGCATATATTTACAATATATGCATTAAATCATAGATTATAAATTTGTAAATCAAAGTATTCTTGTATTTTTTTGCCTTATGCTCTACATTTGTTCTAGTACACCCGTTTTCACCCACAGAAGAATGCTTTGAAAAAAAAAAAGAGGACATGTTTGACACTGACATAAAAATTGTTTTAAAATAAGAGTTTGCTACAAAGAGGGAAAAAAAAATCTAGACCTACATGGTTCTTTGTGGAAAAAAAATGAAGAGTTTTTTTGCTGTGAAGTGTTTTTATAGATTGCAATGAGTCTTTTACAGGTCGTTTAGGGATTCAACATTGCATGTAAGACAGGAAACGTTAGCCTTTAGATGCAAAAACCCCATCATGCACCGCAACATATTTTTGCAAAATATTCAAACATAAATTCGCCAAATATAAGAGGAACATCGTAGTTTGGTTTAAAGATTGTGTTTATTTCAAGGGTTTAACAGTTTGAAGAAATAGAAAATGACACCCTGGCTGACTTATCCGACCACGGGCACCACTGATGCCTTGATCTTCCCAGGTTTTCCCCAGTTCTTCTCTGAGCCCCTGGTACTTCTCTAGTTTCTAATGTTCCTTTTTCCTGACGTGGCAGTCACTTGGTATTGCTGTCAACCACAATGGCTTTCCTCTGCTTTTTGTCCACCACCATAATGTCTGGTTGGTCTTCCATTACCATTCGGTCCGTCCGTATCTGGAAGTCCTACAGGATCTTGGCTCAGTCATTCTCTACCATCTTTGAAGAGGTTTCCCTCTTTGACCTTAGGGTTTCCAGCCCATACTCTGTAGAGATGTTCCTGGACACTATTCCAGCCACTAGGTTATGGCGCTCCATGTAATCTTTCCCTGCTAGATTTTCCTCCCATGATGGAACCTCCAGCACCTCATCTTCTGTTCGTCATAGTCTAAGACATTCACTGAGATGTCTGTTGAAGCCTTGTAATTAATGTACTTATGGATCTTGGATGTTTCCTCCTGGATAGTGGCTCTCATGCTCACTAGTCCTGTGCCTCCATCCTTGCAGCTAGCATACAGTCTCAGGGTGCTGGATATGTGGTGGTACCCTCCGTACATATACATATATGTCTCAAATGATGAACTTTTGCTTGTTTTGTCATTGCTGCACTACCGGAAGTTATACTACAGTTGTATAGTAATACCAGATGATAGCGATTTTAAAAAGCACATCATTTTATAAACAAAAATATAACTAACCTATATAGAAAATACTAATAAAATTTTATTTTTACATTTTTAAGTTTAAATTTTCTTTAGTAGATGATCCTTTTAAAAAAAAATCCAGAAACGAAAGAAAGAATTCATAAAAATTGCTTTTAAGAGTTGAACTACTTCATCCATTTATTAGTCAGTTGTTCAATCCCAAGAAAATATGTAGGTAGTTATAAAAAAAAAAAACACATTATATTAAGTGTTTACTAATCGGCAGTGATCAGAGAAGTCAAAATGATAAAGCATGGACTTGGTCGATACATACAGTATATACAGCAGCTTTGTGCTTTTATTTCCCCACAGCTATTTTTTCTCTGAATGCTTTTGAGCGTCTTTCTTTAAGAAGAAAGGTTAGCACGGCAATGCATTAGTGATACTTTAAGATATAGTTGCGGTCAGTAGGATGAGGTTAGTTAATATTAAAATGCAATCTAACTGTGAAGCAACAAACATTATAGACAGGTCATATTTGAACACAAATAAGAAAGTCTGACAAGTAGAATGAAAATAATAAAGCAGAATTTGTCCTCATACCTGCAAACATAAATGTGCATTCAGTAAAAAGAAAAAAAAAAAAAGTTAAGAAACAGGTAAATTCCCTTCTGTTTTCCAATCAGCAAGCTGAGCTGAGTGATACGAGATGTTGAAACTCAGGCGTTGCTCCTTTCTTCTATTGTAAAGGTTTCCATTGGACCTTTGCTCAGAGCTTTAATGTCTTCCAGAAGATTTATGGGAGTCAAGATATGAGAAGACCCTGGATAAAAACAGGGAGAAAAAAAAAAAAATCATACTCTTCATTAAACAAACAAAACAAAAAAAATATTTTCAGAGTTCTGACAGGCACCAGCAGGGGGCGCATAGAGTCAGAAATAAAAGCCATACAACATTATGTAAGGAGGGCATTTAAGCAGGTTATTAAGAGCATAAGTGCATGTTTGAAGTCCGCTGAATGAAAAACACAGGCTGATTTTGGAGACTTTTCCTAAGTATTTTGATACTGCTTTAATACTAACCTACGATGACCTCGCAGGATTTTACCGCCTGGGTGACCTCATAGGCGGCACGCATCTCAGAGTAGGTGATGCCCCCAATAACAAAGATGATGAGGCGTGAACCAGTCCGGCGATCATCCTGGGAGCTGGGTTTGTTTCTCTGGCGGGCGCTGGAGAGGATGGACGTTAAGATATTTAAAAGAGAGCAGGTGAACATTCGATTTCAATAAAAAAAACAACACAAAAACAGAATACAGCTGAGAACAGATTGTCCTTCGTTATTAGCTTTAAAAAAAAAAAAAAAAAACACTTCCAAACTAAAAACTGCTCTTTTTTTATAATCAGTACAAGTACGATAAAGTTATCAATCACTGATAACATGGACAGCATGGCCAAGGTACATTTTTTTTAGACTATATGGTGCAGTTTCTTATGGTTTATTGGGTTTTCTCTTCATCAGAACATCCTTTTACAGACCAGTAGATTTTTTTGCATTTAAAAAAAGGACTCATTAGCCTGCTTAACTTCCAATTCTTTTGATTATTTTGGCCTCTAAAATGTAAAAAAAAAAAAAAAAAAAAAACTTTGAGCACTGGATTATTCTGAAGCCATTATATGCGTCGTATACTGAGGAAGTTTTGATGCATCGGTGGTGATTTCCGAGACCATACATTTCATATCCTATCTGTGTATCAATCGATGGTTCTTTTGTGATGACCCACCTGACAGCTCCAGATCCATTCCAGGCAGCAGGACACTCGGATTGGTGCGGCCATACTCGGGTGTCCAGTTTGTTCTCCACAGCATCCTGTAGAGGCGACATTTTTCTACATTAATGTCAGCAATGTTCTTTGTAAGAAGCGCAAACTAATCATTTATATATCAGATAAAGATAAAAGGAGAAAATTGGGGAAGCAGTTTTTTAGACATCATAAGAAACATTTGCTGGCTGTTTCATAAATGCAATCACTTCCCTTGCTTCAGTTAAAGAGTTAATGATGCAACAATTCAGACGAAAACTGTTCAAAAATGTCCTCCAAGGAGGAAGTCCAAGGCAAAAACTAATATTGATAAATAAATATTAAAACCCCCTGTTTTATATTAAACAAAACCATCTTAAACATCCCAAACACTTTTTGGTAGATATTCTGTAAACCAATGAGGTTTCAGGATGACATATATTATATACAGTATATACAGAGTTTCTTCCTTTGAATTTAATACAATACCTTTTTACCGTCACATTAATTTAATACCAACATGACTAAGAACTTCAACTGTGATGGAAACTTTTCAACACTAGTGGGGAGAAATCTTTCTGTCTCCTCTTTCTTTTACCTTTTCTCCCTTTTTTCTCCTCTTCTACTTTGTCAATGTAGTGTCCACATAAATTAGTCTCTACATAAATCGTAACAAAACTAATTACATATATAAATCAAGCAGAGCACTATGGCGAAAGCGATAACACTCCACTTGTGAGAGTAAAATCTGTTGAGCTCTCTCTGGCATTGAGACAATTCTTATTGTCTTATTACCAGATAGGGCAGTTAAAAAAAAAATCTTTAGTGGGGAGAAATCAAATCTAGCAAGGTTATTTAATTTGAAGGATCCTTTGTTACTTTTTTTGCTTCACTTCAAAATGGTAGAAATTAACTGCTACAATTCAGATCAGTTGTTTTTCTTTTTGTTATTTAACCAAGATAGTCCCACTAAGATGAATAATCTCTTATTTGAAGGAGTTCTGACCAAAAGGCAGCAAAACTGTCAGATTGTGATCAGACATTTTAAAACAAAGACAACCTACTGAACAAGCCTGGTGAAATCTGTAGCACACTACAAACGAGGTGAAACTGCTCCTTTCGGTTCCCCATTCATTTCAGAAGGAAGGTTTTACACATATTTTTAAGAGTCAAGTCTAATTGTTCCTTATTTTTATGGCTTAACAGTAAAAAACAAAACCGCATAAAGGGACAGAAAGAGACAAAACAAACTGGTGAGAAAAGCAGTTTCTGTCCTAGGCTGCACTCTGGACTCTTTGGAGGAAGTTGCTGAGAGGAGGGTGCTGTCCAAGCTTCCATCCATCATGGACAACACTTTCCACCCTTTACACCAGAGTGTAGAGGAGCTCAGCAGCTCCTTTAGTGAAAGACATTTACACCCTGTTTGTAAAAAGGAACGCTACTGCAGGTCATTCATCCCTGCTGCAAAAAGACTCTACAATGCGACACTGCAACAGCAATAACTTGTTGCAATGTATAATGTGCAAACATTACTATTTGATATCCTGTTTTTCTGTTAACACCCAGTGCAATAGCTATATATACAAAATATAAATATTAATCTAAATAAATACCCATGTAAATACCCTGTGCAATAACCCTGTATAATAATCCTGCAATTAAAATAAAAGAAAAAGCTGTCATATATGGACGCGCTGTATATACTGTATATATCCCATGCACCCTTTTCTTCCTTTGGCACCTTTTTCCTCTCCTTTTACTATTTGAGCTGATGTAATGAGTACATTTCTCCACTGTAAGATCAATAAATTCAATCAATCAATCAATCAATAAAGCCGTTGTTCCTTTCCTGTTCCTAAACAACAGAAGAAAGGTGCTGACAGTTTGCTGTTTGTTTTGCCCACGCTGACCTCCATTATATCTTTGATGACTGGAGTCCATCTTGAAAGGTTGTAGGTTTCCTCTTCCAATCGCTCTCGTCGGCTTGGCTTGCGGGAAAATAAACTAGGCTGAAAAGAAAAGAAGAAAGATGTGTGATGATTTTACACGGATGGTAAAGACTTGATCTTTGATCTTCTGTCCAAGGAGCAAACTTCTAAGTTCTGTTCTCCTTTGTGTACCGTTGTGATGATCGGGACACCCAGCTCTTTCCAGTTCAGGATAAACTCTCGCTCATCTTCGATTTTAACATGTTGGATAAATTTGTTCAAGTTCTCTTCAGTTGTTCCTGTTTGGATCCAAAAAAAAAAAAAAAAAAAAAAAAAAAAAAAAGAATGAAAATGGATTTAAATCAGATTTAAAATATTCATAATTACAAAATGTTATTATTATGTCCAAAAAGTTATAGATCAACAAAGGTTGGCTTTTAGGAGGTGGGATGACAGTTTTACCATTTACACTGAAGATGTAGAGCAGCACAGCTCTGATCTTGTCATGTTTGCTGAATGGGTTTAGCAGCACAGGCAACAGAGTCCTCATGGGATCCTTGACCTTTGCCCCATCAACGTCAGAACCAACAGCCAGGTCCTACAAAGAAATCAGTCTGTTTAACATCCTAAAACTAAACTTAAAATTATAATCAAACCATTTTACCAAATGGATGCTGAATTTGGTAACAGAAAATGAATAAGTAAATAAAAATAATAAACAAATTAAGCTTTTGTATCCCCCTTTTAGATCTAAAATCAGCACAAACATGAAATAAATGGTTTATTTATCACAGAACTATCACTACCAGCTCTGTTATGCAAGATAATGATTAGAAACATTATTTCAAAAGAGGGGAATCGATGAACAGAAACAAAAACAGTGAGTGTTCGTAGAAGGAAGAGAATTAAGAGAAACCTTAAAAAATTTAGGAAGGACAGGAAGTTTATCGACTGGTTAAAGTAGGATTTGAATGGTGTTGTTGAGGAATGATTAACATTTCTATTTGATGTAGAATTTATTTTCTCTCCATAGAATCACAGAAATAATGGAATTAGCAAAAAACAAAAAATGCTAGTATAGTTTTGAGATTTTCTATAATACAGAAAATGCTGACAGAGGAAACCCTTGCTGGCCTGTATATGGATAACATTTATGATAAAAAGAAATAGAAATGTAGAAGAGAGATATCTAGATCAATCCAATATTAGCCAAAAAAATCTAATATTGGATAATAGTTCAACTGGCATTATAAATCCTGATATACTGATAGAAAGTATCTGCTTCCGTTTAAGGTTAACTATTATTCTCTGTTTTAGTAATACTACTTGATCAACATGCATTATACATAAAAAAAATAAGTAATAAAAGCATGTATCACTTGTGCTAATATCATATTGGGTCAATATCAGTATCAAATAAAAAAGTTCTATTGGGACATCGCTACCGATTAACCTGGGTTCATATAGAGCTACAACGTTTAGAACGTTTAGAAGCCCGTAGACGGCTGGAGATAGGACTAGCACCCCTCACAACCCCGCTTGGGATAAGCATGACGGAAAATGGATGGATGGATAAAGCAGAGAGAAGCAACATCTGCACAAAGAGCATTACGAGGAACCACAGAGAGCCAGCTTTCAGGTGTGCAACACAAGGCAGTGATGAAGCTGCCATGCTAAGAGTTTGAACCAAGCTAATATTTGCAAATGAGCTCCTTTTGGAATTCAAAATGTGACAGTGGAGGTTCCTGAAATTCAGCAGGTTTATTAAAAACAAATAAACACGTAGAAATGTGACTTTGTTCATGTAAATTAACCACCAGTTCTGAGGTAATAACATATTGTAATCTAACACAGACTTGTGCACTTTTGGGGCCTTACTCTTAAGTGCTACGTTATGTCCTCACAATGTGTTTGAAAAATCAAATTCTTTAACGGTTAAATCTATTTTATTTTTTTGACCTTATTTTAACAATGGCACAATTTTTTTGTTTTTTCTGCATGCTGTGAATGTTTCCCCACTTTAGGGAAGTAGGAAAGCCTGCAGTGTAAGGAGAGCAGGAAGAGAACTGACAGGCTGGTGACAAAAGCCTTCCTTCATGGCTGGTTCTATGGTTCTGGCCTAAAGGAGCTGTGAGACAGACCGTTAAAGTTATATGTAGTCCTTAGGGTTTTGTGTGTATGTGCGTGTTGGGTGTTTTAGATGTCCAAAGCGTAAGGACAGAGCTTCCTGTTATCTACTTCCTGTGTCAAAAATCTGAACCTGGATTTAAAACATTTAAAAAATGTTGGGAAGAATACATTCTAATAATGAAGCAGTCATGCAACAATGGGACAGTTTTTGCACCTATATGTCTACAAACTGATTTGCACTAAACCTCACTGTTTTATTCTTTGTTATTTTTATTGTAATGTTTTTGTTTTGTTTATGTTTTAAAAATTGAAAAATTCAAAAAAAACTTGAATTACAAAAAAAAAGGAGGGACTTTGTCCGGGCACACCTGCTCAGCTTTGCAGAGTTTCTCCACGTTGTTTGCGAAAAATTTCATGCAATCCTCAGCCAACTGCAGGTGAATGGTTTTCTAGAAAAATGAATAATATAACAGAGTGTTTTGTTTTACAGGGAGGCATTTATGGAGGCAATACTTTGACATGTATATTTTTAACTATAATACGTAGGAAATTAGGCCTAAGATGAGAAGCTGCGCATTTATTATCTCTATCTTTTTCTATTTACTAAGTGAAAAATAACTTTCTGTACCTCGGTCAGTTGCTTTCGGAACGAAGGCATCTTCTTCATCATTTGTGCCAGGTTGCTTATTGTGATCTGAAAAGACAATAGTTCAAATGAGCAAACTGGTTTAATGAACAAGGAGAAGATTTTAAAAGATGAAGGAGACACATGGCAACGCTTTAGCTCTGTACCTTCCCATCAGGCTGTTTTTTACTGGCAGATATTTCCTTTACCATTTTAGGAATCTGTCTATAAGAAGATGAAAACAAGAGTGAAAAACAAGAAAAGAAACGGAGAAGCATTGATGCAGCAGTAAGATGAACCTTGGGACACCTACTCTGAGACCTCGGCGATGTGTTTGTGTCGAAGTTTGACCCACAGCATGTCATCCTCGTTCAGCAGAGCCTGCTTCTCTGAGCCGTCTTTGGACTTGTACCTGAATGTGAGATCATCCACACAGCGGCTTATAGCTTTCTGCAACACGTTGGAGCCAAGAAATGGTGTGACTTTAGGATAAGCAGCTGAGTCAGGGTTTACTTGTAGGTGTCGTTCTGGATATCAATGAGGTCATAGGCCATGGCCTGGTAGGTGAGCTCATGGAGGATGGGGCTTACTGGGTCGAAACCTCGCTCTACGATCAGCAGCTGGGCTGGAGTCTTCTCCTGCAACCATTAAGAGGGTAAAGCTTTAAAACATACGCTTTAACAAAAGAACATGATAAAAACAGAAAAGAAAAAGGTTTATAGTACAGTACTGTTCTATCACGCCACTAATGTTCGAGAAAAAATCCCTGCTTCAGGCAATGTAATAAAAGTTAGCATGAACAAAGGAGGGTGTGAAAAATAAGACTGTTATCAAAAGACTTCGGTTCACACCCAACAGCAGAACTTCTCTACATTCCTTGCTCAGCAGGCATCTCACCTTCTTCTTCCCGCTGTCGTCCAACTCATAGTGTTTGGAAAGCTTGTCGTCGACCAGCTCTGCAAGAGTTTTGGCGTTCACCATTTTGTCGTCTCTAGTTTGGACATAAACAGTTATATGCAGGTGTTGAGTTTTACAGTTATAAAAGCCACCCAGAGGTTTCAGTGACACCGTTGTTCAACAGTATCTGACTTAACAACCTCACCTTCATCTCGTTGGATGAATGTGACATTTGAAAATAAATCAATAATTTGCCCTCTTACTGTTTTATCATCGTATTCTGTTTTTTTTAAAGTTTTTAACACATTCAAGTTTGTAGATGGTAAACTTTTCATTCATTAACCCAGACATTTTCAGTTTCATTATTAAGAGCGTTGAGAACAGCAGAGAGGATCATCGGGGCTTCCCTCCCCTCAATAAAACACATTTCATCTTATTGCTGCGTGTCGTGAGCCCGTAACATCATCAGTGACCCCTCACACCCCCACCATGGACTATTGTCCCTGCTGCCCTCTGGGAAGAGGCTTCGCAGCATTCGATGCTGGACCAGCAGGTTCTGTAACAGCTTTTCCTCACTGCCATTAGACTCTGAATGTCGTGTAAAATTGGTTATTTTCTTTATAAAAAAATTAAAAATAAATGTCAGACTGTTGAAAAACACTAAATCAAGTCACAAATCGAGACTCTGTATCACACTGACAACATCATACTTGCACTACATGATGAATCTTCAAAATAGAACTCAACTCAGTGTTTCTACTGCTTTTTGCACCATTTCTATTTGTTTATTTTTGCACTGGTCTGAACCTTGCACATCAATGCCTTTTGCACCATGGCTCTCCCACACTGTTTATATTTTGATGACTGCTGCACTTTATTTTTTATTTTTCATGCTAAGCTGCTATTCAAAAAAAGGAAATTCACTGTTGGAAAGCTGTATAAATGAAATTTCGTTTTGTATACATTCTGTGTATACAAAGTTGTCTAAGGGTACTTTACATTCAACTAGAGGCAGACGGAAACATTGGTCTGCCGATATTTTCAGCTGAAGGTTTTTATTAGTGCGACAATAAAAAGAAAAGAAAAAAAACAAAACATGCATCGGATGACTAATTTGTTCATTTAGCAACCATGTCTTGAGATTAAGTGAGGCACATGGATTTCAGGCCCCTCTGTTTGTTATCCACTCTTTAAGTTTTGTTTGATTTGTAATCAAATGTTTTATTTTTGTTTAAAATGAGACTTGTATAACATTTGTTTTTATTTTTTTGAGCTTTTACAGCAGTGGCTTGTTTTATGAACAGTAGGCTGACAGGAAAGGGGATATGAGAGAGAAGGAGAGACATGCGGGAAAGGATCACAATATTTTCTGGCTTTAAATTTGCACATTTCCCTCTCTTAAATGTTATGGTTAATAAGCAAGTCACTTCAAAGTTGAACCTGTTAGAGTATTTCAGTAGGATCATTTTTTTAATGCTTATGCAAATTATGTGATACTGTGAACTATAGCTCACAGTCAGCACTGGTCTGAAGTTCCAAACAATGTTTTCTAAATAAAAAACAAACGCCACATAGAATTAATTAAAAAAACCATAATACTATGCAACTAAATGTTTTCATTTTTGTACTGCCCTTTTTTGCATTAAATTTAAGTCAATTGAAACGAGTGACTAAGAAGGCTATCAAGAGTGGATAAGATTAGGGATGAAACAATTAATCGTGATTAATCGATTATTCAAATGATCTCCAACTAATTCAGTAATCGTGTTATTGTTAATTGTAGTATAGAGACTCTAAAAATATGCTTTTAGCAGACAGAGCAACCCATTCAATGCAGCAATTATACCAAAATTGTAAAAAACTATAAATATTTTGCATTTAAGAAAAAACTTTTCCTCCCTCAATATGCTCTATCCAGAACTCCTCATGTGTAAAAGTTTGAGTTTCACCTGCTTTAATTTTGTAAAAAAATCTTCTTTAAGGAACCTTTAGCTATCTGATTATTAATCCGTTAATTGAAAAAATTATCAATAAATTGATCGATTTGAAAAATATGAAGCTGTAGCCCTAGATAAGATACTTAGTCCATATAACAATTCAACAGGACCCCACTTTTTTTAAGTATTTTATAAAGTGTTTCATAACTTCTGTTTCTTCAAAAGTATTTTTTTAGGTATAACTATTGCAATTTTTTTTTTTAAACGTGTCTGGGCTTCTGGAATCAGATTACAACTATCTCTGGTAAAATTGCTTTAATCCATATAAAATTGGCTGAGATCATCAAAAAAGTGGGGTAACTTGTTGTTAAAATGAACCGATTGTGCAATTTATTTTGGGAAAATCATCTTCTTAACCATGCAGAATAGTTTAGAAATCATTTTGCATACTGTAGTCTTAAAGTTCAATACTTTTCCAAGGAATGGCTAAAACATTTTAAGAGGCCACAACAACCCAGATAACATCTCTTTAGGGCCTTCAGGGAGCATTAAGAGTGAAAACAAGTAAGATCTGGAATAACCCTAAACCTATAAAGTTCCTGTCACAGTTTGGACATACACTGCAAATTCTAACAATAGGTGTTCCTCTGCTTAAGGCTTCAGGTGTGCTGTAACCTGGGAAGAGAAAATGATCCTTCTCCGGCTTACTTCTTGTATCTGACCCCCGGGTTCTCGTTCAACGTGGCACAGAGGGTGACGAGCTGGTCTGCCAGAGTCTCCAATGTCTTCCTTTTCTCCTGACTGTGAGGACTGTAGATTTTTCGGAAAGCCCCCGGATCATCACAGGTAAACACCTTCAAAGCAGTCAGTAAAAAAGTTTTATCCAACATCGAAATGCATCTCTATAAAGCAGAATATCATTGAAAAGATTCATTACACATATTCACATCAGATAATCCATATTAAAGGTATGTTTATATAAAATAAACAGGAAATAGATTAATTCTAACCCTACCAACTGATCTATATGTCTGTGTATTGGACAGTATATGCAGTCAATGCATGGTGTTGCTTTGATTTGGGCATCTAGCTCCTCTGCTTAGGGGATGCAACAGTTGTAGACTGTATCTGTTTTTAATGGTCTACTGAAGCAGTGAACAGGCTTTTGTTTTTAAAGCCACACTTTCTCCTTTTCACTCAATTTTTCAAATCAAAATGCTCAGACAAAGCCATCTTCTGTAGCGTTGATCTGCTGTGCCTTACTGTTCATATTTTGGGGCTTTATATTAACAGCCTTTTACTAAGAAGTTTTGCCCATGATTCAGCACCAATGAATGCCACTTATGCATTATAGTAATGCATTTTTGTGTAATGTTAGAGACACACAGACCCGATACCAGTCTCATGTACTTGTAAAAACAATCCGTTGCATCAGACTGATTCAACTTTTATAGCTGATTAAAGTAATGAAAAACCGTAAGGTTTTTCTTAGCTCCAGCTGCCAGGTGGTGCTTTCCTAATTCGCACAAAAAAAAAATCCTTATTTTGACTGAGCCTTTTTTTTAGTATTCACCTGATATACATTAGCAGCAAGTGCTGACGAGCCTTTTTTTTTTTTTTAGTATTCACCTGATATACATTAGCAGCAAGTGCTGAAACATAAGTATTTAAATCCCCCAAAAATCTGTTTTTTGTGAATTTTTTGGTGTTATTCTAATTGTACTGTTTTCCAAAACCAAACAAATGTTAACAGAAAGCTTACAAGAAGGCAGAGAAAAGCTTTTTTAGATTAATAGAAATACAGGAAGCAGACAGGAACTGCTATGAAGTCAGGATCATTGCATCATGATGTTAAGCTTCCAACACCCTTAAAGTTTTAAGCATGTCTTTCTCTTGCACAACATGAGCTGCAACTATTTACCTGGGCCTCCTGTGGTAAGAAGGAAATGTTGATTTCCTTGCAGACACGGATGTACTTTGCACAGTAAAGCTTCATATTGTTAAACAGGTCATCAGGGCAGTCTGTTGAAATCAGACAACAATGTCACGGTCTACTTTGATCATGTTATATAAAAAAAATGTATCATTACGAGTAGTTATAGGCTACTTACAGTCTGTGAAATAAACATAAGCCGATTTGTATTTCGGTTTGGGTTTGAAGTCAGCTATGAAGGCGTCCACACACTGTTAAAACAATTTGAATGCATTCATCACAAAAAAAGCAGAATCCATTTGAAATCAAAGTGTCCTTCATCTTTTCTGTAATGACAAACCTTGGAGGTAGGCGTCATGAAGTAGATGGCCTTCATTTCAGGTACAGGCTCTCTGATTTTGAAGAGATCCTCCACAACTAAACAGAGAAGGTTTTAACTTTAGAAGGAATCATCACACAACGATCCAAACAGAGTCTCCATTTGATTCCAGGTTTTGCCTCAATATCTGAACTCAAACATCATAACCTACTTGTTATTCTTTCTTCCATTAGATCGGACATTTTGCAGCATGATGAGAGAATCTTGGTAGTGAAGGGGTCCAAAATCAGTATCTGTATAGCAAAATTTACAAACTACAAGTAAATACCAATTCAAAACTCCATCACTGTTGTCTAGTCAAGTCACGTCTGGATTAATCATAACTAAAATGTGAATTTCTGTTTATGTATTTGCAGGGCGGATGGGTTTTCCTACCTTCCATACTTCAGATTTCTTACAGTCTGCAATTATTGTGTCTTTTATTCCTGCAGAGATACACAACAATATTAGGAATTAAGCTTCAGCATCAACTTCATACTAATGGATGTAGAAAACTACCACAAAAAGAAATCCTACTGGGTACAAAACTTCAGTTTTTACAGATTATGAAAATATTTGGTTCTTATGTATCACTTAAAAGGATTAAACAATAATTACCAAAAATAAACCAGTTGATATTAATCTTATTTATCATTGGTTTAGAAAAAACAACAAAAAACTTTTTAAACGAAGTTACTGAATAGCTGATTTGAACTGGCTACAAATCAGTGTGTAATTTGTTCATTTTGAGGTGGGATTTAGGGAGTTTTATTCATAATTTCATTTCACATTTAGGCTGAAATAATCCTGACAGAAATCATGGGCATGTCTCATTTATTTAGCATTGATCAGTTAGTTAAACGATATTGCATTACTACAAGTGTGACTCAAGCCCTCACCTGCAAACAGCTGGGGATGATTACAGGGAATGGTCAGTTTTCTAAGTTGCACAAAATATAAAGCATCAACTTAAAGATTTTTTATAAATTTAGCATAAGTACAGCTAATTAAAATTTGTTATACTGGGAGTTCAGAAAGTGGAACTCATTTTTTTTTATATAGATTCATTACACATAGAGGGAAATATCTTAAGCAATATCGTTTGATTAATTAAATTATTATGGCTTACAAATAATTTTAAAAAGTATTTTAGTGTTTCATAAGATCAATAAAAAGAGGACATTTTAATCAGGAACGTCAGGCCTATGAAAAGTGTTTTCATTTGCATGTTTTAAATTGTTCAGGGTTTCTTCACACCTTCCACTTTTGTTCCTTTGAAATGGTCTGACGTTACATCTGTAATAACAGCATCAATATACAAAGCAGAGGTTGATTTCTTCAGTTTGTGCTTCTTTGCTCTGTCCTGCAGTCGTCATTTCAGACCAACAAGAATAACATAATTAACCCACTTTTATCAACCTTTTATAAAAAAAATAAAAAAAATAAAAAAAAATCGATAAGGAGGCAAATAAAATATAGAAAGCATAACTGTTACTTAGTTTTAGCAATTTTTATTTCATATCTTTGGCCCATGTTATGAAAAGAAAAGCAGTGAATCAATGTGGAACTTTCTTAGAAATTTTATTAGGATTATGTTATTTTAGAAGAAGTAATGGTTTCATCTCCTTAATTAGAAACCTGGGATCTTCACAAAATCAGAAGTAAACAAGCAGAGGTAAAGAAAAATGTTTTTTTTTCCCTCCTCAGCTCCTTAACAAACTCCTTGAAAGTCTGATCTGTACAGAAAAGGTTGGCTTAATTAGTTCATGCATGAAAACATTATTGTTTACTAAAGCTGGACACTAGAAAGTCTAAAATGTTTTAATCACTGCTTTTAAATACATTAAATATTTGTTATGGTGATGTATGTCCTTTAAATTTTGTGTGAAGTTTTTCAAAATATTTGCTTTAAGACTGGTCTTATACTTTTGATTTTAATTGTCTAAATACCTTAAAATTATGACATTTATACTCATGATCATCGACAATGCTTAACTCCACTAAGCACACATTTTGGACAAAACACAATGGAAAAAAGGAATTTTTACCCAAATATTTCACATATTTCTTTTTTTTAAATCATGTTTAAAGTATTTTTGAATATCAAAGTGCAGATTTCATTGTTGGAAATAGGCAACAAAATATTCTTTTTTTTTTTCTTCCAATTAGTTGGATTGGGTGATTTAAATCAGCCGCTATTATTTGTAAACATTATAATCACCTCATATTTTCACAATATGTGATAAAATTCCAGTGTTTGGTTCATAGTTTCATCCATCTGGCTCAGGGGAGGAGCTAGATGGGGGGCCAGGGGTAATTAATCACCCCTGTGGCAACCCCTACATTTTTTTTCACTCAAGTAGAATATTTAAAACAATTTAAATTTTATATACATTAACAATTACTTGACAACAAAAAACACTGTGGTTAATTATGCACATCAATAAACCAACATTAGAGAGGATTAGTACAGAATTCATGCTCTTTCAGACCTAGATGTTGTGTTATAAGAGAAAATGATGTGACTGTGCAAGTCATTCTAAGAGTCTTCAGTGAAATCATATATATTGTAAATAACTATTTTAATAAAAACCTATTAAAATATAAATTCATGTAGATATTAGTACTTGTAAATATCAATTTAATGTTGAATGATATTGATAAAAGTAGGTAAGTAAAGACGATGGAAACGATGTTCGATCCAGAACTCAAACCTGAAAGAATTTTATCCAATATATCTTTTATCTAGATGGATGTTTAAATATATGCATCTATTTGTTAGCAAAGGCTGTAGGAAACTATAGTTAGTCTTTATTTAGAAAATATGGACGCTTGTTCCTGTTGGAACAGTGTAGATTGACCCTAAGGTTCTGGTGCCTATCCACTTTTGGCCACCCCTCAGTATACAGTTGTTATTGTCTGGCCACCCTTATAAAACTTTTCTGGCTACGCTTCTGGTCCGGCTATATTTTTAACCGAAGCCCATCAGATATTCATTCAAGGCACCGATCAGTTATGGGGAAATGTCTCATTTAAACTTGAATAAAAAACGCCGCATTTTCGAAAAAAAAAAAAAAAACATTTAAAACTGTTTTAGAAGCAAGGAAACTCTGTCATCTTAGCCACATTGCTTTGTTACTACATCTTATTTTAGGAGAAAACTTCTGAAGGTGACAGCAAGTTTGTTTCTGTCAGCTGTAGTGTTTTTTTTTTCTTGCGAAGGAATAAGGTGGGGCTCCAAGACAAACACAAAGTGACCGCTTTGTAATTTTTCTGAAACTGGAAAAAGAACCAATAAATGATAGTGTCAAGTCTGAATTAAATATAAAGGAGCAGAAAAGTCTAGGTGACTTACTTTTCCAAACTATTCGTTTGAGCCCGTGATCCGAGCCTGCTGCCATCTTGTTTTCCTCTTTTTTTCCCCCGGTTTATGTGACACATTTCCGGTTGGGTGACGGATTCTAGATTGCGTATAAAGGGTGCGACTCAGCGACGCTGTAGTTTTTTTTTTTTAAATTGAAACTAGAGAGAAAAAATTTGAATGAATGAACAAATAAATTAAACAATATATTTAATAATGAACGGAGCATTTTCATTTTAATAATGCTTAAAGATTGTTAATATTAATCAGACACTTTTGTTAAAGAATACTTGTAATTTATTATAAAATTATTAACATAAATATCATAATAGGAGATGATGATAATAGGCAACATACAAAGCATCTGGCCTTTTTCATTTTATCATTCACAGAGGCACACAAGGCAGACATCCCCTATTGGACACATTTAAACATCAGAGCAATTCAAAGTGGCCAGTTAAACTAAGGTATGGATTTTTGTTCTGTGGGAGGAAGTTGATCTACCCAGAGAGTAGACATCCTTTACATCACATGGCGGATTTTTTTTAAATAATCCCTTTAAATAGAACAAAACTCAATGTTCTACTGCATTTTGCACTACATTTATTTGCACTGCACTGAATCTTTCCTTATCAATCCCTTTTGCACCATGACTTTAAACTGGTTTCTCCTTTTCTGCTACCCTGTTTACATTCTGATCACTGCTGAACTTTATGGTAATGCTCATTTCACTGTTGTAAGCTGCTCATTCACTGTTGAAAAGCTGTTTGCGTCAAAATTTCGTTTTATATACTTTACAACATGACAATAAAGTTTGTCTGAGTCCAAGTCTAAGAGAGCCCGTATGTGCTTGAGTACATTTAAGCATAAACAAACCAACATAACCTAACTGCTGGAATCATTATCAGTATAAGCTTAATAATTGGAACTAGAGTATTCCTTATGTATAATCATGGATACAATTTTAAATTCCATTACATTGAACAATTAAATAAATTACATGAATAGCATAAAATGTGTTCTACATTGCTTTTATTATTAATTTACTGTTTACTTTATTTTTTCAAGTATATTATGTCTCTTTAGAAACAAAACATAAAAAAAAGATAAATCCCTTTCATTAAAGACGAGTCACTTTACTCTAACATGATTGGACCTTTGCCCCAAAGAGGGAGGAGCTAGATTCAGATATATCACTTACTGAGAACAGACACTTGTATATTTAAGAAAATTGGAACATCACAGAGAAGAGTTTGTGGAACATAGGGGTGTCAAGTGTAAAAGAAGAACTTCAAGGAACAAACCAAGGATGGGTGCTGTGAAATGGCTGGTCTTTTTGGTCTTTCTCAACTTTTGTTCACAGGTACAGTACAACAAAATTGTTGCTTAGCCATAGAACTACCTGTACACTATGAATATTAATGACATATTATTGTAAATTTGCAGGCATCAGCACAATCAGGTATTGTAAATTTTCGTATCATATAGCTGGTCTATGGATTTTGCAAATGAGAATGAAGCATAATATTGCATTGCTTAGTGCATACAAGTGCAAACAAAGTCTCTGTTCTTTTTTTTTTCTCTTCAGGCATCCAAGTATCTGTGTTCTCTATAACATCCAAAACTGTGATACTCAGATGGACGAGATATTCTGGAGCCAGTTCCTACAAGATATCTGCAGCCCTCTCAAGTTCACCAAGCAATATCATCGCTTTTGCCATGTATGGTCCAAATACAGTGATGGGCTCTATAACCTCTCTTTCTGAAGATGTAGCGTATACATTTACAGTTGAAGCTTTGGATGCTACACAGATAGTGCTAGACTCTGCATCCATCGAGACATCCAAAGGTAGAGTAAGCATCTCTCCAGTCCTCTAATATAATCTGATCACACTTTTTCTTTGCACATGTAATCTTTGCAGCTTATATTTGCAGATATTATAGTATATCAATTATAGAAAGTCAGAAAAAAAAGTAATTGTTTTCTTTCTTTCTTTCTTTCTTTCTTTCTTTCTTTCTTTCTTTCTTTCTTTCTTTCTTTCTTTCTTTCTTTCTTTCTTTCTTTCTTTCTTTC